ATCAAACGCTCAATCCGTGTGGAAAATAGCAATTATCCAAGTCCTTCCAGGAGAAATGCTAGTCAAGTTGCAAAGGCTGGTAGGCCATTTGACTCAGAAGTTCTTTAAATTGGCTGTGAACAGCAGCAGGAAGAATGGCATTAAATCAAGAATACAATACAAGGGTATATAATAGGAAGGGGAAGAACTGGAGGTTGGAGAGAAGGTGCAAGGTTGACCCTACTGCTCTGGGTATTTCAGGGAGAAAGAAGAAGGACGTCTTGGTGGAATGGCAATGAAAATGCCTTTAGAAAACTTGTTCTTGAACCTCAGGAGATATTTAATGGGTGATTATGAAGTATGCAATGTTGGCTGTCTCTGCCTCCCCCATGAAACCTTCAGTAAATGCCACAAGGCTCACTAATGCATCGGCATGAATGGACTGTGGGAGGGGGAGCTCAAAGAGAAAAATAAGGGGACAGCTGACATCTGGGTTACACCAGCTACAGCAGGGAGGAATGACAAGTGAATTCAGCAAAAATGTTTTATTTCTACATCTATTGTCAAGTCTAATTATTGGTTGAAATTAGAGGTTCTGCCCTGATCATGGCCATGAATAAATAAAAATATGTTTGAATTTCAGCAGATGTCATTGAATTTCACATATCTTTCCCATCCCAGAAAGGAAAAGAAAGATCCGGCTAGCCCTTTCATGCACTGACATCCACACTTAAGGCACAGAAAATCGCTCCAGAAATGATTCACTTGACCAAAGCTGTGAAATCAGAATTCCTGAATTTTCTCTCTAGCTGTGAAAACTATATATATTGATCTTACAGCCAAACTTGGCAAGAAAATATTAGTTTGTAAAAGCAGTTTTCCTTTGGGCTCCACACGTGTGCAGTATTCACACAGTTGGTCAACTCAGATACCAAGAGCTTATGCCGGGCCAGGGACTGCAAGTGTCACGGAAGTAAAGACAGATGCATAACATGTGGGTTTTGCCCTTGAGGAGTCCATTAGTTAATGCCTTCAACATTTGCTGTAATTTGGGTATAGTCAACTGATGTTCTCGTTCAAGCTCATGATAAAGGAGGACATCACTCAGGACCCTCCCCTATGAGCTGCCCTGAGGTTCAGCTTGATCAGGACCATCTCGCCAGCCCTGACCCTCTTCCTCCCACCCACTCATCTGTCTCTGCTTGCACTGTGCCAGCTCGTTCCTTCTGCTGCCACTGTTGGCAGAACTGCACAACTTGAGATTGGGTCCAGGAACTGAGTTACTGAATTACTGCCTTTGCTGTTCATCACTCTCAGCAGTTGTGCATGTGTGTGGACGCCAGCCTAGTTGTAGCAAGTTTCAGTAGCACCATGAATAAGTTCTCTGATGAAGCAGCTTCTAGATGCAATGGCTCAACAGAGCCAGGCTCCCAACTACATCAGGGTGGGACTTTTTCTGTACTTGGGGCTGTACCACATTAACCTCTACCTGCCTACCTACTCCCCAAAGGCATACTTCCCTGTGGCCAAGCCCTGCTAAGGCTTTTGAAGCAGAAGAATTCAAGAGATTCAAGAATCAAATTCCTAGAAGTTTTGACTATGAGAAGTTATTCAGCCCAACTTTCTGCCTTCAACTCCTTTATTAAAGGAGGAGTAGGCCTCCATTTAAGTGAAAATATAAGAATTCTCTTTGTCAATAGATGATCTTAAGTAGAACAATTAATACACATTTGGTCTTATCTTTTATACAAGAACAGAAAGGAAAACAAGACAAATATATAGAGAGGATAAGAACAATCCTTTGTTTATGCTAGGCTCTATGCTACATTCTATCAGTTAACCCTCATATGGTTACTATAAAGTAGGTACTATGTTTCTACCCATTTCACAGATTTGAGAACTGAGGCACTAAAAGATTAAGGCTGAGGATGCTTGGCTAGTTAGTGGCAGAGCCAAGGCTTGATCCAGATAGATGCAGAACCTCTTTACCACTAGTCTTCTTCTACTAGACCTACTAGACAGGTCTGAAATTCACCTCCATTCTGACCAAAATGTAATTTCATTGTGTCATTCAAGCTAGGGGCTAGTCACTGGAGGTCTGATATATGTGGACAAATATTCCATACGCATGGACTCCCATCTCCTTCATTTGTTTAGTGCACTTGTTAGGGTCTGATCAGCCCATCAACAAATAGTAATGGCCTCATGCTCTTAACACTATTTGCAGGGACCCCCACCAAATAAAGCTTCTGCCCCAGCCATGTTCCCATTTCACATCCCACGCATCACCTCCCACGGACAAGGCTCTGGTTGGCTGTTTGTCTTCATGTGTGTTTAATTGTGCCAATCCAGTCTCTTGCCAAGAGGTTTATATTTCTCTTATTCTATTTATTATTCCAAGACTGCAAAGAGGTGATGCACAATAAATACATACAAAAAGGCTGAATCTACTTATGACCTCCAATTCCAGTGAATTCAGGAGTTGAATATAATCATAAGATAACATCAAACAACTATAATGAAAAAAAAAACTAGAATGAAATAAAGGTTGGGATCACCTATGCCAAAAAAGGTACATTTGAACCTTCTTTTTCCTGTTTACCAAGTTGTTTGAGCAGTGGGGAATCATGATACCAACACATGTTATAAAGCCTTCATCTCCCCAGTATACAATGTATTTGGTTGCAAAAATAAAGACCAAGGTCAACACAGCTTCGAACTGAATCTCTGATTCCCAGGAGGGCAGGAAACAGTATTTCCAAGCGAAATATAGAGCCCTTAAAACAAGACGTTCAAAGATTCTTTGCAAAATGCTTGTTTGTGTCGAGAAAATTCCAGCCCAATGAGAAATCAGATGGGTAGACGCACCAAATACTGAAGACACGCCTCAAGGCAAGGCATACAAACACTCTCTCTGGTGCACACTAAACTCAGGAGTGATCCTCCAGTCATTACGAGCAGAGAAATGTCCCACCAGAGTCTTCCAAATAGCAAACTCTTAGTCCTATGATTGTTTCTATTATTTGCCATATTTTCTGTCCAAAACCCCCTCTAGTTCCTCCATGGTTAGCAGCTTTTATAGCCCAAGATAAGTGTCCATCCCTTTTAATTTTCATTGTTGCATCTGTTTTGCCATTTCTCTGCAGCAGGTTGTATTACAACTGAAGGATTAATGAGGAAATGGATGCAAACATTTTTATTTCAAATAGCAGCTCTCAGACAAGATCTGGAAAACGGAATCAAGCCATATGATTGTAAAAGAAAAAAAAATCCTCGCCATCCAACTATTGGGCATTTTGCCATTATTTGTGAATAGCATGTAAATACAAACAACTTAACTGGGGTGGGGAGAGATGTACATTTTTCATTTGTGTCTGGCTAATCATTTTTTTTTATTATTAATTTGGTCCCTTTTATTTCACATAAATGTCATCTCAAGCACCAAACATCAACAAATAAGATCGTTTATCTTGCTGGGGAAAGCAAAACACTGCATTGCCATTCAGAGAAGGCAGCTGACGTCCCTACCGCACCACTAATAAAGAAGGCCTTCAGAACGAAAAATAATCATTTTCTATTACTTTCCACCATGCCTCATCCATAAACACAGGGCCGCTGGTAATTGCATTTAGCGAAGAAGCATGCTCTGTGTATTACAATTTCCTGAAATGAACAAAACCCTGAAGAACACCCCCAGGCTGGGGGGTTTGAAATGAAAAGAAGAGGGAAACGGTGGGTCGCCCTCTCTTGGGGTGCCTCTCCGAGCCACTGCCATCCAAGGGGCAGAGGATGAGGAAGGAGGAGAGGGAAGCCCGGGTTTTGAGGAGATTTTTCTCCTTCCTCGTCCTGGCCTGGGTAAAGAGGCAAAGGAAGCAGTGATGGGTTTACACGAGAAAGCCAAGACTCAGGGCAGCAGGGGTACACTGGTCTAGCCCCACAGCTCACGCGCCCAAGGGGGTGGTCGGAGGATGTGAGCGCCCAGCCACGTGGGACAGCCGTGTCCGCGCGCACGCGCACACGCGCGCTGGGCAGGGAGGCGGCAGGGATGCGCGGATAAATCCACCGCAAGCCCCCTGACTCCACGCTTCCCTGTCGCCGGAGCATTTGGCTCGCATGCCCGCGCGGCCTCCTCTGCCAAGCAAGGCACTGACTCCACGGGAGAACCGTCCTGTCGATCTCTGCAGGAATATAAGACCTTTTTTTTCCAAGGAAAATGTTCCCCAACTCTGCAAGGGAGGTTGGCAGTACATCTCCAACTCTGGCCTGTCTTTTTAATACCCCTACAATAGCTCCGTTGGACTGAGACCAGCTGTTGGTGCATTACCATTTGTAAATGCTTAAAACAGCTACTCCTTGTTTTCTTGGCAACACTGACTGTGGAGAAAAAAAAAAAGGAAAAAAAAAAAAAAGAAGCTAGCTCCAGCCACTTCCATTCAAACATTAAGAAGCACCGACTGCCAGCTTTGGCATCCACCAGCCATTGTTTGCACGGCTCTCTTCAACAAGTTTCTCCTCACCCCACTATTTCTCCACACAACCCTCCACAGAAAAAGAACAAGAAAGAAAATCAGTGGAGAATATTCCATTCCCCTTAGTCCCAACTCTTAAGTCCCCAACAATCACGGCGTTAGTCTTCCCCTGAAAGACGACAGAGGAGCCCAGTGAACGCTTTATGTCTGGGTCTTTTCTCTCATCTGGTTTTGTCCTCCGTTCTCCCCAGGCGGGTTATCGTTTTACAGGCGCTCAGTGGAAGATCAGCATCTTCCCAATGCCCGTGAGATTTTCCCAGAGAGACCACCCCCGCACCCACCCCCGCCATCCCCGCTTTTTTCCGCTCTGAATGTGTGCAGTGAGGACGCCGCCTTTTGTAAGATCCCAGCCGGGACACAATTTGGGGGTGACGAGCACACGGCCAAAATCCACGTCACCCCCTACAGATGGGGGCTACTCTGAAGAAAGCCTCTGCATTTGGCCCATCTCTCGTCTCACCAAAGCCCACCCGCTGCCATCTGCAAGAGGAGTCAAACTGCCAAAGCCAGTACTTGGTGACTCGAAACAGATGAGGAATCGCACCGAAAGCCGGCGAGGCCCGTCCGGGCTCCCGGTCCCACCAGGGCCGCGGCTGGCAGGGGCAACCTCCAGGGCCACGTGCCCGTCCCGCGTCCACGCTCCCCACGCCTCGAGCGGGAGCCGCCCGGGAGGACAGGCGCCTCCGTGCCCAGGGCTGCCGAGGCCGGGACAATAGGTTTCACGTGCCATGTCCCCGCGCGCATGCCCTTCTGTTCAATGGCCTCCCCCACCAAGGGCAGTGGTGGCTGCATCTGTCCTCGCTTCTTTAGTGCGGTTTCTGGGCACACGAGGGAGAGGTCTGTCAGCCTCACACACACTCTTGGAGTGGAGTGAATTCAAGGAGCCAAATGTTACTGCAGGGCTGAAATTCGGCACATAAGCTCCAAGCAGAAGGAGAGTGCACAAACCTGGGTCCCTGAGGTCCAGAGCTTTGGGGGGACAATTTGGCCCAAGACTAAAAAGTCCCGTGGTGTTCATGGAAATGTTCCACCACCAGTTCTTACAGTGAAGGAGGAAACCTGGGACGGATAGTGCAAACCAGCAGACAACCCAGAAAGCCTAGATAACCCCTCCCCAGGAGTATAAAATAGCTGCAGGGCACAGGGGAACACTTGACAGTGATCTGAGCTCTGACACTGATCAGCTCAGGACCAGGCATCCATGTCATGTTTCAGGGTCTGAATGGTCTCTCCCGTAAAAATCCAGAAGTTGGGTCCCTTCAGTTCTACAAGTCTATGTTATCGTCTTCCTAATTTTCTTGAATTTTGGCTAATATGAGTTGAGGTATGCCCCAGTCTAAAGATAGTCAATGTATATAAATTAAAACATTGATTATGATGCTTCCTTTGAGATGTAAACTCTCAATTCATTTGATATCAGATCTATAAAAATAAACTTCTGCTCAACTTTTCAGGAAAAGATGATAAATTATTTGAACTGAATCAGATTTGATGCTGTTGTGTCCAATTCAGCTGTCAGTTCCCAGGCCAACATGCGGTAGGCTCATTACACACATTGTTTATTAAATGGGACAGATTTAAGGTCCAAAATGGAGTCCCTGGGAAGACAGCATCGGTGACTTGAGAAAACTGAAGTGGTAGAATAGGTCAGTCAGGGACTAAAAACTGGCCCTGGGCAATTACCAAGCAGGTTATTCACCTGCAGTTAACTGGAAGCCAGGCAACTATAATAAAAATAAACTTAAATCTGTGGGGTTTACTAAACCTCAAAATGGATTTATTAATGCCAAGACAAAAAACAATACCCTAAGAGCCCCTCAAACCTCGGTCAGTCTGCCATATTTGGTACAATTCCCTCTAGCAACCCCGATTCACATAAACCCCCTCAGCAGAGCTTTGTCTGAGGCACCTTGACTAACCGCCTACCAGGCCCTCTAAACGCTTGTTGAACTGCCCCCGCTCCTGGGCTGAAAGCCCTGTGAGGGCTGAGACTGTGTCCATTAGATCCCCAGAGCCCTGCACAAAAGGTGCTCCAGTCAAGAGAGATTTGAGGGGAAAAGCTGCAAGAAGACCTGACTCTCTGCCCTCACTCAGAGAGTGAGGCCTTTGTCTGAAGGCCTTGAGGCCTAACTTGCGATGTCTGAGGAGATGGTAAGAAAGGAAAAAGACAGTGACACCAGAGAAAACAAGGCAGTCCTCTGTCATTAAGAGCCGGGGTGGAACCGAGAGCCGAGTCAGGCTTGGTCCCTGACCTCAGGCCTTCCTTGTGGCGGTCAGCCCTCCGGGGACTCAGCACTGGGAATTCCTACCAATCCCTGAACAACAGCGACGGAGAGGCCGGATGAGGACACGTCCTGAGAAGCCCTCGAGCCACAGTGTGAGCCGGTCACCAGCACGCAGGTGGCCACCGCCCCTGGGGTCTGACAGCGCTGACAAGACACCCAGCAGGCGCTGTGTGTGAAACAAGGCTCTGAGCACCTCGTTCATTCCAACTTCACGGTCCTGCGGGAGGTGTGTGTATGAGGACTATACCCACTGCACAGATGAGGAAACTGAGGCACGGAGGGATCTCTTAACGTACCTATCGTTGCACAGCCAGTGAAGGGCTGGCTGGACTTGAAGCCCTCGGCTGTGCTCTGAGCCACAGTGGTTTGTGAAGGCCACCCGCTGAGGTCAGCCCCTGGGAAGGGCAGCGGCAAAGGAGCTTGTCCCCATGCGGCACAGAGCCCCGCAGTGCATGAGCAGGCAGTGGGGGCCTCGTGAGAACACCCCAAGGCAGACCTGTCTGGCAAGGTCTCCTGTCACCACCACATATCTGTTTGTCCAGCACTGAGTCAAGTCAAAGCGAATACTTACAAGGTAGTACCAGGCTGATCATGCCACCAGCCTCCCTGCCTCGGGGTACACAGGCGTCCCTCACATCCCCGCTCTCTCAAGTCCTCAGCCAGTGAGCAGAGATGCAGTACTGTCCCTCTGTCTGTCTTGCCTATAAGGTCCTCCACCAGGCCAGTGTTATCAAATAATACCTTCCAGTCTCCACTGAAGGCCACGTGGCTGGACAGCTAGCAGGAGGGATTCAGGAGCCCGATGACCTGACCTGAAACCTTAACTTGGCCATTTAGCAGCCATGTAGTCCTAGACAGATTTCTAAACCTTCTGTGCCTCAGTTTCCTTATCTATAAAATGGGGATTAGAAAAGCACCAACCTCCAGGGGTGATTGTGATGATTCACCAGCCGCCTTGTCCTACAAACACCCCACCCCACAAAGCCCAGACACTGACTCTCTCCAAGTCGCTTGTCAGTCTCTCTCCTGGTCTATTGTTTTTTAATATTTATTTATTTAGTTGGCTGTGTCAGGTCTTCATGGCAACACTCGGGATCTTTCATTGCAGCATGTGGATGCTCTAGTTGTGATTATGCAGGTTTCAGTAGTTGCACCATGTAGGGTTAGTTGCTGTGCAGTATGTGGGATGTGAGTTCACCAACCAGGAATCAAACCCACATCCCTTGCATTGCAAGGCAGATTCTTAACCCCTGGACCACTAGGGAAGTCCCCTTTCCTGGTCTATTTTCAATGTTGGGTGGGTGTGGCAGCAGAAACCCACCATTTAAGGGTCCTGTTCCTACCTCCAGGGCCATGTAATAGAGTGGAAAGGTCTGGATTCAAAGTAGAACCCAGTTCACATCTCAGTCCTGCCATTGTGGAATCTGGACACATAATGTAGCCCCAGCATGACCCAGGCAGTGAAGCATGTGTTCGGGGCAGAGGCTCAGAGTCGGCCTGCCTCGGTTTAAATCCCCCTACAGCACCACTAACCGTGTAGCCTGAATGAGTTACTCAGCAGGGCCTGCTTCAGTGGCTCCTCCATGAAGTGGGGGTGACATCACAAGGCACCTGGTGGGGCTGCTGTGAGGACTGAGAGGACACACAGGTGCCTGGACACCCGCTAACCTCTCTCCTTACTTCCTGTGTCTCTAGCTGGGGGTGGTGGTACCTGCAGTGTTGAGGGATGGGAGTAGGGTTGAGCCAGGTGACAGGTGTGACATGCAGAGCACTGGCCTGACACACGTTCAGCTGCTGCTGCTAAGTCGCTTCAGTCGTGTCCGACTCTGTGCGACCCCATAGACGGCAGCCCACCAGCCTCTGCCGTCCCTGGGATTCTCCAGGCAAGACCACTGGAGTGTGTTGCCATTTCCTTCTCCAAGGCATGAAAGTGAAAAGTGAAAGTGAAGTCGCTCAGTCGTGTCCGACTCTTCGCGACCCCATGGACTGCAGCCTACCAGGCTCCTCCGTCCATGGGGTTTTCCAGGCAAGAGTACTGGGGTGGGGTGCCATTGCCTTCTCCGGACATGTGTTCAGCCCTTGACAAATGACAGTCCCTCTGTTTCCCATGCCTCTCTCTGTACCTCAGATCAGAAGGCTTCATTTTGAGTCTCTCTACCAATGGTTCTCAACCATCACTCACATCCACTAAAATCCCACCTCCTCCACAAGCCTCCCAAGATTCATCTAAAAATATCCCCAGTCCTTTCCCAGCGTGGACAGGGAGACATTCCTTGGGCTTTCTGCCTGCTTTCCCTCACCCCAACCTTGTGTCCTTGACCTCTCAGGTCACAATTACGGGGAGGGGGAAACTTCTAACATGCTACTTTCCCATGGTCTTTCTTCTGAGCACATGGAGAAAGAGAATGAGTGAGCTCTCTGGTGTCTCTTCTCATAAGGACACTAATTTTTTTGGACCAGGGCCCCACCATTATCACCTCATCTAAACTTTTATTATTAATGCTTCCTTAGAGGCCCCATCTCAAATACAGCCATGCTGGGAGTTAAAACTTCAACTTATGAATTTTGGGAGAAACAAACATGCAGTCCATAATACATGCCAGTATTTCTTTGAGGTGGGTATAGAGTTTACCAGTGATGATGTGGGATCTTTACCACAGGTCACACAGTCAATAAGTAGGCAGTCATACACCTCCAGAGCCTGAGTCTTAGCTTTCCCAAAGATAGAATGTGAATTTTAAAGAAGGGCCTCATAAAGACCACAGGAGCTGGACATGGAGCTCCCCAAGAGCCCCTCAGGGATTAAGGAGATCCAGAATAAAGGGGTGGTTCTAGTGGGATGGAAGGGTTCCAGGAAACCTCCCTCCCACCTCAGGTTTTCAGGAAAGTTGTACATGATACCATAAAATTTGTTTGTTTACAGAAAATATATTTTTACATATTCATTCAACAGAGAACACCTGCTATGTGTACAATACTGTTTTAGATGCTTGTGTATCCAGTACTGGGGCTTCCCTGGTGGCTCAGGTGTAAAGAATCTGCCTGCAATGCAGGAGACCAGGGATCAATCCCTGAACTAGGAAGATCCCCTGGGGTAGGAAATAGCACCCCACTTCAGTATTCTTGCCTGAAAAATTCCATGGGCAGAGGAGCCTGGCAGTCCATGGGGCCACAAAGAGTCAGACACGATGGAGCAACTGAGTATACCCACACATCCAGTACTGAACAAATAGATCTGAATTCTTCTCCCAAGGAACTTTCAGGGCTGTGGAGGGTCACAGACAAATGGGCAACCACAATCCAGTGCAAAAGTTCCGGCCAATACTGGGTGGGACGCGCAACCCAGCTTGGGAGCTTTGTAGGGCTGGAATGAAGAGGCTTTACTCTTTGAAGAACAAAAGGCTTAGCTTTTGCATTGACAGAGCCTACACACCAACTCGACATGCAAAGATAAACAAAATGGCCAGTGTGGGTATGTGATTGACTTGACCATAACAGAGGTTAAGAGTGCTGAGCCCTGCCTTCCTCCAGAATGGCCTCAATACAGTCCATTTTGTTAGACACTCATTGACTATCTACCAGAGGCAAAACCCCATGCTAGGCACTGGGCAAGCGTTTGGGAGAATATTGAAAAGAAATTTCCTTCCAACAGCAAAATGACTCTGACTGCAATGAAAAAGGCCCATGCCCTTGGATCCTCTGATGGCTCAACTCTGAAATGAAAACCATACTCGAACCCCGGTCTTGCCCTTCACTTATCCTGCTGAAGGTCAGCAGTCTCTCCTGCCATCCCAGCCTGAGCTGGAGAGGTGAGAGGAAAAGACAGAAGGTTTTATTATACCACCCAGGCCACGCCTGCCAAGTTCTCCCCACAACTGCTTCAAAAAAAAAAAGATGAAGTGAAAGGGAATTGGAAAAATGGAACCCCCTACATCCCAGAAATATTACTTTCATGAGCTGTATGAATTATTTAACAGACAGCTGAAAAGACCAAACTCAACAGAAGAATACAAAAACCAGCTCGGTACAGACACCTTCCCTGAAGCCCATGACAATGAAATGTATTTTATGCCACAGATCAACCTGCCAGGGAAGGAGGCTTCCGAGACAGATGCCCACAGGGATCATTAGCCCCTTATCTTGCAACCCTTTGCCACCAGCATCCAGATCTCCAAGCCTGGGCAACCCAGAGGGAGAAAAGCTGAAAAGTGTGTATATTGTAAGTGTTGGTTAAACAACCCCACCGTATTCTTATTTGCTGGAGGTTTTAGGGAGCAGATGTAGGACTGGCAGGGCTTGGAGCTGGCGATATTGTTCTAGCTCATTCGGAGCCAACAGGGAAGGGGGGGAAAAAGCCACACACACAGACAGAAAAAGCTGCATTTGGTGTGTGCGCCTGGGTGTGCATGCTCGCCGCTGTGCCATCCGCTTGTCCAAGGTTCCTTGGAGTCGAGCTGACCAATGCAAAACTGGGCTTGGGGCCGGGCCAAGAGAAACAGAACTTCTCCCAGAAGCTGCAGGGGGTGTCTCTCCGCAGCCGCACTCTGCGAGCATCCTCTCCTGCAGGCGCGAGGGGGCTGGGGCAGCGACTCGCCCACTGCGGGCTTGGTGCTCTCAGTTGCGAGAGAAAGGGCAAACAAATGGAGAACCGACCATAAAGGCGGCCAGCAGCAGTGAGGCAGCGCTGCAGCTGCCAGGCAATAACTTAGATAGTTACAGCTGCCATCACCTAGTTCATGCAAGCTTTTTAATATCTTTTGGCAGCTCTTGGTGTCACAGCACAAAGGGAGGGTTGGCACTTTGCAGCACACTTTGTTTGACATAACTGTAGGCAGGACCCAGCTGATACCTTCAGCAATGTGGATGGGTTTTGCTCTTAAGATGCGTTTCAACCGATCAAACGCTTCCCCCCATCCTCCTTTTTCTCCCCTCCTGCCACCCCACTGCTTGCGTTCAGGGCACACCACACCACTAAATCACACATTGGGCAGCTGATCAGGTGAATGGGAGGATTCGGCGGGTGCAACATAAGGTTGGACCCATAAGCATCCAGGCAAGAAGGTGAGGAAAGCAGTGCGCAGAAGACAGGGAGCAAAGAAAGGAAGGGGGAAGGAGAAAAGAAAAATGGATTCGGTGAGCTCCACAACCTTAATGCCTTACCAAGAGACTCACTTCCTGCTTGCCTACGCCTCCGCTCACCGCATTTTAAGATAATCAAAATCCCACCATCTTGCTTCCTGCTCTTCACTCGTTAAGGTTCTTCACTGCTTGCCCACTCCACCACCCACCCACCCACCCACCTTCCTGACTCTAGTTTCTCCCATGTATCTGCCTGCCCTGTGTGTTTCTTCCAAGGACCAATAGCTAAGAAGGCGCTCTGCAGAAGCCCTTCCCA